CCAGTGCGTGATCGCTTTTACCTAAGGGGGGTTGGACACAGATATCGTCCATCAAACGATCATCGTCTGTTAGAACGTAGTCCAGTGGTGATCCTTTTCCGTCTGGTCCCCATCTGGTGCTTTCTCCAGCCTTCTCTATTAGTCCTGCTGCCATGAACGTATTTCAAAATTTGTGTTCGAAAGGTTTATGCCCACATCTTACTTCACACCCCGGGTCAAGTGTCAGTTTGTTGAAGTCTCCAACGAGGACTACATGGTCATAGACTGCCGAGGTGGTTGTTGCGATGTCACTGAGCAATTGTGCCTTAAACTCTGTCGTACAAGGGGGAGGCCTACATACTACTCCTATCAAGTACTTGGCTTGGTTTATGGTGAAATAGCACCATGAGGAGTCTGGCAGTAAGCTGAACACACCATCAGTCACTTCCTTGACTTTAGATGAGTGCTGGTGTACATGGCAACTCCTCCGCCTTCTTTGAACTGCCTGTCCTTTCGGAACAGGGTCATGGTAGGCGAACATATCTCCTTACCCACTATGTCTTCTGATTGCCATGTCACCGTGAAAATAATTATGTCTGCTCGCGGATTATAGCACATTGCTTTTAGCTCCAGTAGTTTACTCCTAAGACCTCTCACATTGCTGTAGAAGCATGTTAGAGAGCTACGTTTCGGGCTTGGTGAGATATGGAGACTTGTTCCAGGGGCTACTGGGCCATTGCACCAGGTTCTGCCTGCTACTCTCCACTAGACTGGCAGGTCTCCGTATTTTGGCCCCCCTTGGCATCCTGCTGCTGCTGTGGTGGCATTGTTTATTGTGCCTACAGGCGGCTGACTAGCTAATTCTCTTCTGACTAGTACTGCTTGTAGTGTTCTCGGAGGTTGCCTCCTATCTTCTGGTCTGACAGCTAGTGGTTTACTCTCATAGCATCGTATAGCACCTCCTATGTGGTCTTTTACACGGTACCACGCTGTGAGAGCTGTTCGTGATGCTTTGTAGTCAAAGGGTACAGCTGGCAATCTTGGTGATGAAATGCTCTGCAAGTGTATTGGTATTGGTAACCTACTCAAGCTGCTGGCAGATAAATTTCCAAGTCCCATTTTTGCTGATAACCACTTCCACCGCTCGACATCATGAAGGTAGTTATCAAGCTTTGTGGATCCACCTGCAAGTTCGGATATTCCGTGCACCACCATGGTTGTAGCTTTGTGCAGGTCACTAAGCGGGGATTCCTCTCTGCCTCCCGGATGACCAAGGGTTTGTCTAGCTCCACCCACATTAGGCAGCAGCCTACAATATCTGGTCGGTGCGACAGCAGCAGTATGTTCGCCGACTGCTTCGCCGCCATTGCTGATACCTCGAGTGACGGCGGCTTGTCTTGAGGTGCTCTACTTCCTCGGGAGAGCCGGCACAAGTTGGCTGCGATGGCTTCTATTCCCAACTTTCTGCAGTAGTCATCCCACTTCTCCTTGTTAGACTGTTCTCTTTTTTCTAAGAGTGAGTCCGTTGGTGTAGGGACGTTGAACAAAACGATGGAATCTGCTCTCTTGTCCTGTAAGTGTGGAATATCGGGCTAGGTAGCCAGTGCTTTCGGTCTACCCCTCACCCTACTGACTTCCATCCATTCGTTCTCAGAGCAACCTATTTTCCCAGGTTGTTCAGTCCCGTTGGATTGCCTAGGTGGCGGTGATACAGGCGAGGAATTTTTTGGTTTTTCACTTGGAGTGGGAGCCAATTTTCTCCTGCCTTTAGCTGCGGCATTTTTGCACACATGTGGAGCCAGACCGCTTTCTGAGGGAAGATTGTTAGAGCTCGTTCTCTATAACATTTTGACTGAACCAGATTTTCCGGTTTGCCAGTGATGACGACCGGTGGTTTCCCGCACTCTGAGCATATATACCACATCCATTTACACGGGTACTTCCTCATAAAGCTGTAGTACTGCCCCAGTAACCCACTATCACAGTTACGGTGTACCCATCTAAGACAGATATTGCACGCAAAAGCCTTCTGAGCCTCCAACACCGATTCTTTGCGGACACCACAGTCGTCGGAGGTCTAATCTTTGTTGACGACGGAGTGGTTTATTTTCTGTATTGTGATGTCAGCCGTAGCGCGTTTCCCCCATGCATTATTTTCCACTGACGGTATGATCACAGATGTCCTGCTACAGGGATTTGCCGGTTTCAACGAATGCTGTGCCTGGCATGACAGCGTTATGTGGACCTTAGACGGTGAATGTGCTGCTGCACCCGTCTTTTTAGAGCAGACTGGATTCCGTCAACCTGCAGACCTCGTTATACGGTTAAGCGCTTGCGATCTGTTATTTCGTACCATTATTGTTAAGTGGTTTATTACGCAAATAATGTAAGGTAAGAGGAGGATGAAGAGTAAAGTAGACAACTTACCAACGGGAACTTAATACTCCGTTTCTATCACTTTATCGGCAACTTTGACCGAATAGTCCAAGTGCGTATGTAAGAGCCAAGAAAGATATTTCTTGGTGAATGATCTCTGAGGAAAGCCAAAAGCTATAGCAGCTGGACGGTCCAGACGACTACAAATCACCAGCAGGAAGTATGTACGAGTTGAGAAGATAGTTGCTTCTTTGTAGGTGGCAATTCTTGCGTCCAGTTGATTAACCGAATCCTGTTCACTGTTACGATATGGTTGCCAACTGTTTTCAGTGATAAATGCCGTGGTTTGCCTCCAGATTGGGCATGAACAAAGCATGACTTATTGCCTCTAGACTGGATATGAACAAGGCACGACTGAGAACTGTACGTTCTGTAGCAAAACGTTTTTCTAGTGACACTGTAACTTTCGCAGTGGAAATATCCGATTAAGGAGGCTTGTATATGGTTATTTCCGAGTAGAATGCAGACACGACAGGACGCGTCGATATTCAAAGAGCTCCGGAAAACACCTTCGTATAGCCGCCCGATAATTTTCATAGCCTGCGCAGCGAAATTTCAGGGCCTGGAGAGGCGGTAGGTTGACGAACTGGTGCCCCACATAGCTGCTATAGCACGAGAAACGTCTTAGGAATTGTTCCGGTGCGAACCTGATAGACAAAGAGGCCAATCACCGGTTATTCGAACTTGTTACGTACCCACGAATACGAAACCAAGAAAGAACACAGTAGCGCAGTCGGATGGAGTAGTATATCTGCAGGGTCGGGCCAAGATACCGATACGTTCCAACTAACCGGCTAGAGGGTCGATTACGCGCAAGGCGATATAACACGACAGCATGCCAAGTGGCGAGGACCGGGTGCCCTCAGCTCAACGAGTCCGGTAAAGCCATCAAGGTCAGCATCAATGCCGAATCTCGTTGAACCCTAGGTTATTGATTCCGAAGAAGTGTGTGACGCCGCAGATCATGCCCCTCTGGCGGGTTCGTGGGGACCCTAAGACACTACCAACCAAAGCAGAAACCCAGTGGTTTCTCCGATGATAAAACTCTCCCATGGGGTCATCGTAAGAAGTGGCTCCTTGTTGTCTGAACTTATTCTAGGTTGTCGCGGCGAGTGGAAAAATAAAATACAATACATCAGATTCTACATCGACCATGATCCTTAGTGCCCTTTGACGTTCCGTTCAGTGCTCCTTTCACCTGGAGTAAAAATAAAAGCCTATAATACCACGAAAATGTTTTGTAAAAATAGAAAATATTTATATATAAATGTATCGGAAATAGATTTTATGCTAATTCCCATTTAACTTTTTTGAAAAAGTTTCATTCCTTTGTGGTTTACGTATAACTATTGCCGCCTATTTCCAGCCAATGCAACAAACATTCTTGGTAGAATTAATCCATATTACCTTTAAACGTAACGAGGTGACCTGGAAATGCTTTGACCGAGACACTTGCCTTGGTCATGTAACTGTGGATAATTTACCGATACCCTGGCCTGTATGTTCAGGTCCTTTGCGGTTAGCAGAGCTAAATACTGAAGGACGTTTTCATGATCGGACGGTTATATTACTAGGTAACAAACCATGCAAATTGACTCACAGCGTCGGGTGGTTACGATGCAAACTTCTAACTTTACTTTCTTTCCTAATAGTGGAACCCGTGTGATGGTAAATGAAAGTCTATGCCCGTCTCCCGAATTTCATCAGGTTTTAATAGGATTATGCAAATTAATGACTTGATATGTCAATTATTTAGCACCAAACACCACTCTGTAAATTTTCATAAGTAATCAATTCGACGATGCTTGTAAACTGGTACCCTTCACGTTAAGTGGATTATGTGAGGATACTATTTATTACTATCTGAACTTCAACACTCCATATGCGCTGAAAAGTGAGATTTTCTTGTTTGTTTCTCCTGCTGTTTTTAATGGAGTTCAACGATATTCCGTCTGTACCATTCAGGACTCGTAAAACCTTGTAGATTTTTCGACGTATATCAATGTGGTGATGCCTGTAAACTAGCTTCTTTCATGTTAAGTTACCAATGTGGGGATGAAACTTTTATTTATTTATTTATATAATTTTGTTGGAAGCATAACCATTTTCAAGAAAGTTCATGATGTGTCTGGTTTTACCCACTTCGTTTCTAGGGGGACCATCTACCAATGTGAGATCCACTAGGACCTTAGTATGAAAGACCAGTATTTAACACTGGGCCTATTCGCTTCGTTTCATAGCTGCTTTTGTTGACATCGAAAGGAATAGCATTTGGATTACGCATCCGCGACCGGTTGTTGTCCATGAATCACAGATATATCTTCGGTATTTGCGATCACCCATTTTGAGTCTCTACGAAAAATTTCAACAGGTTGTTGAAAAAGTCAGCCACCATGGACTACCCTTCCTAAAATACCCGACAGACATTAATTGCTTGTGGCCACAACGACAGAAGATGTAAAGGCCTTTGGCAGAAAGAAAGATATTTACCTGGTTTGGCAAATTGAAATACGTACTCGCCATTCTTAAAACAGCAACGGATTACGCCAAACAGAGAGCTCTGAAAATGACGAAATTTAATGTACCTGCGGCTTTCAGTTACACGCATCTGATATCTTTGATCTCTGAGAGGCAAGCAACACCCATCCATCGTACACTGCGAATTGTAGATGCAGCTTTATGAAGATGGACGAGTGCTTCATCATGGACACTAAAGAAGTAACCACATGATCAGAAGCACCAAAAGCAATCACCCCAAACATGGATTCCTTATGGGCGTACCAAAAGCTCCACAATGACTGTTAATTAGGGTCGGGGACGTGAATTCAAGCCTTATTATGCATACCATGTTTGTCTAAATTTGTAGCAGTTTCGATCCAGAAAAAATGGGAGCTCGTGGCGGGCAAATACACGATAAGCACGTCTAGATTGAATCTTGAGGGTCGCCCCATACATGCTTCTGGAGTAAACGTGCTACTTTCAGCTTCAAATCTCATATTGTAACGTCCGCATTTAATGAACCGCTATCACAGAATCATCATTTTTCGTTTGGCGTGCAACTTGTTGGCTGCCACTGGGAAAGTTGAGAGGAGTGAGAGATAAGTGGCTGGTGAACACGTCATTAATTAAGCCATGGTTTTAGAACCCGCTTTATTGACCTGTTAGTATGAAGACCGTTCCTCCTACGGTTTCTAATATGACCATGATATTTAAAATTCAACGTCGCCTTATTGTAAGTTACCGTATTTCCTGATAGCGAGAAGTTTAAGCCAGAATTTATGATGAAACACCAAGTGAACTGGGGGTTAAATCCTTTTTTCTGCTGAAAGAGAAAAACGAAAATCCATTCCAGCTTATCATTTTACTATCTAGTTATAGACTGGATCTGAAACCACAACTTACCACAAGACGTGAACCCAATTGTTGAGTGTGTTTTGATTTTGTTCTGGTAACGTACTCAAAAACACTGACCCCTCATTTTGTTTAACCTCACCCATTTCGCCTGCTAAACCATATTGAACTTCCCGTTTCGATCGGTGTGGCGATTGTATTTCGTTTTGGACTGAAACTGTAGTAGTCTTGAAAACTGAAGGGTTGTAGCATAGTTCTGTACATGTATTTTGTTGTAAAGAACAGTTTCCATTTACTGTTTGAACGTACATTCGTTATTTGGCAGCCGGTTGTTCTGGAATTGGTTGGTTTCGCTTTGGGCTCGGAAGCTCTGGAGATTCGTGCCTTCGCTATGTGTTACTCAGTAGACTTGTCGTAACACTTAGGTGGTTCAAAACCCCTAAGGTTAAGGGCCGCTCATGGATGAGCAAGGAATGTGCGATGGCCCCAGCAAAAAGCAAAATCATCCCTCATCTGTTGGCACAAACAAATTTTGAGTGCCAGAGTCAACAATGCGCGTAATCAAGGTGCCTATCAAGGTGAAGGATGAGGAAACTTCTGAAAGTGACCCAGACGTTACGTAGCACCTTTACATTTAACGCACAAATAAATGATTAATTTGAACCATGCGCCCCCAGCAACCAGCTGAACTTCTACGGCAGCTTCAGGATTCTTCCATGTGCAAATCGTTTCAGCTTACATCTGAAGTCTGACTGCACAGTATCATCCTAGGAAACCCCAAAATTTCTCCTTGAATTTTTTCCTGGCTGTGAAACACATTGAAAATCTTTCCAGAAAATTTTTAGTTGCAACTTTTCATGCTTCCGCTTTTTTGACTGGATGTAAATCTGTGTCATGGACCGAATCCTTTAGTGGCCAATGATCGGGATCCTAATCTTTACCATCCTTCGAGTACATCCCCAATACTCCTATGGTATGCGTGGCTGATGGACGGGGATTCGTCATCGTATTGAACAGATGTCATTTCAGGTTACTTTTTGGCAATGGACTTGAACAAAGTATCGTGATAAATGAAAATTCATGTCAAAAATATATGCCATACACATAATGGTACGGTAAAACTATTTAATGATGCTGTAGGGAGCACATTTCACCTCTGGTTTGTTTGCTCAAGTTACTGATGTTTTCTCACGAAGTAAGCTATCTCATGTGGTGAGAACCACATAGACATCACCTCAAGGACGAACATAGGAACGGACAAACAGAGAAACTCAAGACTAGTGACATATCTTCTGACCTTCAGCGTGTAGCTCCCCGTCCCCGTGATTATGGTGCCGCCGGAATGGACCTGTCTGCTTTCCTAGAATCCACTCGATTCTCAACATTTAGTCCACAAGAAAAGTTGCACGCGAGTAACACTTGTGGAGTCTTGCCAGCAAATAAAAGGAAGAGCTAACGCTTTGTCTTACTTATTGAACATTCATATCTGATGCATACAAGTTCAAATAGTTCTGCACGGTTTTTGCATGAAGGACGAAAAGGTCAAACGTGATTTATTACTCAAGCTTTATAAGCTCTGGGATTTGTGGTTTTGATGTAATGAAAGACAAGGATGACCTCACTCGGGGACCTGTTTGTTTAGGTGTTTCGCCCACAAGTGCATCATCTTACCAGCAGGTACCGACCTATGGGTCATAAAACAATGAACTCTAAGTAGGCTAGGACTGCTGAGAGTGGCCCTTTATCTGAAAGGGGGGATACCGTTTAGCGATATGCTGAACTAAACATCACGAGTGCAAGATCAGGGCATAGTGCCGGTTTGTCGGCTACGCAGATTTCATGTTTTAGATCCTGCAAGTATGCTTAGAACCATAGACTAGTCTAGTGGGTGGTTGCCAGCAGGCAGTGAATTGTAACGCTATGACGTATCGACCACAGGTGATGCCTGATCATTCACCTTCAGCTAAACAAGACCATCGGGACTATGGGACCTTGAAAAAGTTTCTAGCGTTGCCGTCACACAGGCCGTCACCCTTTTAGGTTTATTCGTTACTAAAAATGCCATAACAGTCTACATTTGAAGGTGTGTGAACCTATGAGATAGAAGCAAAAGATTACAGCTGAGCTTGGGCTGATGCACATCCCATGAAGTGAGCTATGAGTAAATAAGTATCAGCTTGTGATCCAGTCCAACTCTCTGCTGGTCTTGTGGTTATCCCCAACTAATTTATTTCAATGTCACTGAATTCATCCAAACATCACGGTACAAATGATAGTTAAGTGCTGGTTGACCTGCTTCTACGGCGTTTAGTAGTAAAGTTACTCTAATTCAGATGGTCTCCGAAGATTTTCAGGAGTCTATACTTTTGATGGAGTCCTTGCCGTTTAGCTGTGGAAATATTAAGAGCCTCATCATCCTCAGCCTCTCCATCAATTTTTTTAATGCCATTTCTAGTGGCGACTTTTGAAATGTTACCAGTGCCTTTTTCTTTGACATTGATATGCCTTCTATTTTATCCAACTATAATCGGTTTTCTTTGACTATTGAAACCAGTTTTCAAGTCCAATGAGTTGATGACAGACATTTCCATCTGGTTTTGTTCTCATATGGATAATACTGCAAGGTTCGTGGGCTACCATTACTCTTCTGAATGTTCAGCTGCAGCCACCAGTCTATAAGGATGGAGAAAGCCCATCAGTGACTGTTAGCTACTGTCCACTTTTCTTCGAGTCCTTTTTTCCGTTTCATATCCTTTTACTACTAGAAATAGATCTTAAATATTGGGTTTCTTTTCCTGTTTGGTTCTCTTAAACGTTTCTAAAGATACTGGAGCCAATCTTTTGAAAGAACGCGATATTCTTGGCGTAACCAGTTAAGTGTGCACTTAAATGATGGCTCTGACACATCAGTTTTCTTGTTATAACCCATATTAGGTTATTGCTTCTGTTAAGGCAAAATTTAACAACTGAGGCGTTGTCTGCCGATTCAAAGGTATGCGTCACATCATGTTTGTGATTTATTGTTTTTGAGGTAACTGAGTGAAACAGTGGATACCATAGGTGTTTAATTCTTGGGTGTTTGGATTGACCACAGTTGTCTTACTTCATCACTCCACTTGTGATCGATTCCCCCCTTTTTTTTTCGCGTGTATGTGCAGTCCTCTCAAAGTGTCCAGTGACTGGAATCCGTTGTCAAAATAAGTAGCAGTTTTTTCGGTGGTCGCATTTGAGGAGGGACTAGAGTTTCGTTGAGATAATTATTGCAAAGATTAACGCAGGCTAACAACCAACATCAGTAGTGTGAGTAGAGGAGACTTGTAGCTTTTGAGCTCTGACATAGACAGGCAGACAGTCAATAACAGCATAAGACCTACCATTACTGCTTAGCGGTCCAAGTTGCCGCATTTCATATCAGCACGTCAAACCAGAATGCACTGAGATGAAAGACAAGAAATGAAGAAAAGAACGGTCGAAAGTGTTATTAACTCATCAAAAGGTAGCAAGAATAAATAAGAGAATACTGGAACTCGTTACGATGTCAGTGATAAAGATCACTCGAGGATTCATCTGCACAACTGAAATCAGTCTGAAGCCATATCATCAAGAGTCTCCAACCGCTAGTTATGGTTGTTAGGCGGACCACAACCGGGATGTCTACGTTTACCTACACAGCTGAGACCAACAGTGTTAGACCTTAAACTGTTGTCATTCTTAAGTTTGGCTGCCTCTAACCCTTACTCAGCCTAAACCTGGTTCAGCTAACGTTATGTGATGGGGCACAGTGAGTAGGCATGCGTACACACATCCAAACCATCTGAGTCGATGAAAATTCACAACCTTAACTGACTTTCCTCTCCTTCTTGAAACTGTACATCACTTCTATATTACGCAGGTGGTGACACCATGGCACCTGACCACTGCTACAAAAGCAACAGTGGTCGAAAACCTGAAGCCATCCATGTCCTCTACCTTGAATGGCCATCTTTCACATCCTCATATTAGGAAAGAGCAAACTACAGAGCAGTACATATACCTAATGGGCAATAAAATATCACGGCAGTGCCGTAGAGGTTGTAAGTTTGTGAAAGCCAATCAACCTTTTCTATCCGTGGAGAAATTTCGGCAACTATTGACCTACTAAGGCTAATCCGACTTCCTGGGTAAGTCAAGCGGTCGACACGCTTAACCACCACTCCCTGTTGTTAGACAGGGCACCAGCGAAGACCAGTCCTGGTGCAACAATTCCCATCTGGGTGATGAGAACAAACATTCTCAAATTACCACTCAGGATGCCCACAAAACTCTACATCTTATCAGCGTCTTCACGCAACAGGCTAATATCATCTGCATACTCTAGATCTACGAAGGATTCTACTGTGATTAGATGACAAGATATAGACGCCTGCGAGTACGTCCACAATAAAAATGAATGGGGATGGAGAGATTGAACATGCTCGAAGTACACGACTTATCTGACAATTCATCATAGGATGACGCCCGCAAGTGTGTGAATAAAAAGCCGTCAGCAGTGATAAACTTACTCGATACTCCTTTCTGTGTAAGACACTGCCATAAAGCTTCTCGATCGCTGGAACTCAATGCTACCTTCAGGTCAAGAAATACAGCTAATATCGGGTCTCGGTAAGTGTGCCTGTGTTCCAAACCTGGTGGAGAGTTAATATCTGGTTGTACACCCACGGTCAGGTCTGAGAATTGCCTGGTTGTCTGGGGTTTCCTCTTCCTGAGCTCTGCTTCTAATCCTGATAAATATAGAACCTAGAATCTGCGATACTATGCTTATCAGGCTGATTTCCCCGTGTTTCTCGCAGGGGAACTTCTCACCTTTTTTGAAGACTGGGACAATCAGCGATTAATATCAGTCAGAGATCATATCTGACTCTCGTACACCAGCTAACACTACAGTTAACCTGACCGAAAATCCACGAACGCCATTCCGAAATACCTCTAACACTAGACTATGGAGACCTGCTGACCTACCTTGTTCTACATGCAAACACTGATTCAGAAAAAGCTGCTGAGATCCACTGACTCTTTCTCCGAGTCGGCTACGGTCTTCAACTCTGTTTTTACAGCAGGCTGGAGATGGAATCAGACTTCTGAACCAGTGATGTTCTCTTCTGACAACTGTCTAGCCAGTTTCTCACTGGAAACATGCTTGATGCTCTCATCGTTGACCTGCACTTGCAATGGTCTTTTGGGTTTTTCTACTACCAATTAGATGTGGACATACCCGGACTCTAACTAACGCATGGTTGTTTTTCAAGCACGTGCTCCAGAAGGAGTGGCAATTTTCCACTGATCCTCTCCAGCGATAACCGACAATGTAGTTTATCTGTGCCCCGCTGAGCTGAGGTCGGTGGACACCACGTCAGACAATGTCTCTCTTTACATCTTAAGTTCGTGCGGACTTTTCAGAAATAAACGTTTGTCTGAGCATAGTTGTAGCAGTTGATCACCGTTATCGGTTCATTCGACTAGGATACTTAAAGTGTCATCTAAGTGCCTTTCTGCCTGAATTAGCCTACCCATTTGTGCATTAAAATCACCTACTACGATAACCACGTCTTTACGTTTGGCTTTCAGTGGGAGACTAGACAATTTTCGATCAAACTCATCCTTCACTTCATCTAAAATGCAGTCGATGTGTGCGTAAGCAGATCTTACAGAGGGATAATAGCATTTCACTATTCTTCTTAGTTCCTACTGTGTCGTTCAGTAGAAAAATACATACGCGACTGTCATCTGGCATTCAGTCGAGCAGTACACTTTCTGCCTTAAAACGTAATGCTATACCTACACCAGCAAGACTGCTGGAACTGGCCATCAGATCTTCAAAAATTCAAAGGGGTAATTTCAAGGATTCACCATATGGACTACGTTAAGTTTTGAATAACCGCACTTTGATGTCGTCTGCCTTTTTGCCGAAGGCAGCTCTTGTCTATGGCACTGGATGCCAGAGTTTTAGGACCTGGAAAGGAGACTGGGTTTCTATATAGTGCGTGATCGCAGAGCGCAAGCGACATATGCCTGAGGCCGGTCATACACAGCCTTTTTAGAAGTTTGGGATTTTAGTTCACCTCGAATTCGACCATCAAGCCATACCATCTGCACCCCGGTATGCCGTAGGGTGGAGGGAAGTGTGCTATTTTTAGGGTCGACCTTTTTTCCTCTCCTTTCCTTAGGAAAGGGACCATGGCACTGTTGGTCATCCATGGCAAGCACCTTACTACTGTCACCCCCATCCAGTCAGCAGTATGACTTCGCCTTTGGACTCCCATCACAGCGCGGTAATTCACAATGATTGTGACTGCTTTCTGTCTTACCACTATCCAACAGACCTTTCTGGTAGGATAGAACCTTGACGGAACAATCCCTTCCATCAGCGTTGTTGGGTTATTGGGATATGGAAATTCGATCACCAGGTCAAGGAAGCAGCTATCGGTCTGGAAACATTATTATTCCAGAAGTTTAACAGTTAATTGATCAATGTTATTCTGTATAACCTGAATTTGTGTAGATCCTTAATATTTTGGCTCAAGCAACCGGCATAACTGTATTTGTATTGGATAGTTGGGAAAGCTAATTATTTTGGTTGCCACTACTCAGGATGCGGTCTACAAGGTGCCATTAATATATGCTCCAAATTGTGTTGGTTGTATGTTTAAGCCATCATTACAAAGTACAAAACATGTGTCAATTTAGGAATATATGAATATTTTTCAAATATCTTTTTTGTAGATTGTAAATAACTGTTAAAACCTAACCTTTACTTTACTTGTTGATAATGGAGAAAATGCACACTTTTCCTACGAAAGCATTTTATGGATTCAGTATGTGACGAACTATCCACTGAAGTCTTATCAAACCACCTTTGTTTCATTGAATTGAGTTTAACCTGATCTTACTAGTCTTTCTTGCTGGTTGTTGAGATAAGGTCTTTAGGAGACCAGAAAGCTTCATAACTGATTTTGTTTATACAATACTTTCCTGATGAATTCTCGTGTACAGCTTGTGGTATGGCGTAGACTTTCCGTGGATCACTGCTGATGCAGATGGGTGTAGTGCATAAAATAGCTTCAGTTAGCTACCACACAGATTCCCGCTTACAAAAATAAATAATTTTTAAGAGTTGTGCTAGTGATGGCAACTCTAAGCCAATCCAGTTGACGTGTGGAGACAAGATTGTGAATTTAGGACTGGCTAAAAGTCATGAAGGTCTCTCCAACCTTGTTTAACGCCACTTTCACCTTTTAGGGTAAGTTAGAACTTACAGCAAATATTATCATCTACTGATACCTTTTGATCCTCCTCACCTTCATAACATAGTGATTTTGGTTTTTACTCAGACTTTGGTTCAATATACACATAGTATTCATTTTTGAGGTATCAGCTGACAAATTAATTTTTGTGCTGTTTCGCAGTGACATGAATAAACTAATAAGTTCATTCCTATTGTTGTTTTCTGAGAGGGGAGTATGAGAAATTGATCAAAAGCGAATACCACTGTATGTGGTGATTAATAAGATATTGACAGAGACATACCGTAAAAATATTTGGCCAGTTTGGTTTCATAACTGGGTCACTGACAGCTTACAACGAACGTCTGGAGCTTCAGGTTTTAATACTTAGTCCTCAGTTAATCTCGATGGTGATACATATTTCGAATGTAATGGGACAGACGGTCTTCTTGAGAAGTTTTCTGTTTGTTTGCAATTATTTTTGAACAAAATATAATTGATCTTCCACCGTTCACAGAGTAGTACACCAATCTTATCACATTATCACAGGAGCAAGAGTATTTCTTGTTCAACCTCGGATAAATCTGAAGACATCAACGGGTAGGTTATTTTTTAGTTGGTTTTATTTTACTGGGTACCGAGTGGCATACAGTAGCAGTTTTAACAATATTTTTATGCAAAAAATACAAGTATTGGTCTGCTTTTATTTCAGATTTTGATTTTATTCAAAATTACTTGTTTTAAATTCTTTCAACACTAATGAAGGAAGAGTCCAGTGGTTTTCGAGAAAGGTTTGTTCTATTGAAAATGACCATTTTACGCCGACTAGAGTCCTCAATCTATTCAAATCGTCAAAAGGAGCTCTCACACAGAAGCATTTCGAGAAGGAATTTTCGGATGTATCACTTACTACCATCCTACCCATCCTAAATGCTTTGCAAAAGGAGGGCATGCTGGATGTCCTGGTTAATACAGACCGAACCTTATCATGGCAGTTGAGGGATCAAACGGCAGCTGAGTAAGTGAACTAAGATCTCATTTTACGTTTTGCCAGAAATTTGAAAAGCTTATCAGATCTGGAGGAGCGTCTAGTTTACAATGCGATACGTACTGCTGGCGAAGATGGTATGTTGTTTTTCATTTTACTTTTGTCTGTTAATTTCTAATTTAGCTGCGTCAGTCAAACTGATTAGTTCAGAAACTAAGCTACCTCAAAACCGGATACCTAAAATAATTAAGTCATTGATTTCTAAGAAGTTGATTAAAGAAGTGCCAATGGCTGTTGGTCACAAACAGAAAGTGTACCTGCTTATGGAACTGGAACCTAGTGAAAAGTTAGCTGCAAATACACTATTCGCTGGTGAATCTGGTGTGGATGCTGAGTTTATATCTATTTTGAGAGCGGCCTGCTTAAAGTATCTTCAAGATAAGGTTTTAGCAGCATTTTCTTATCTGAATTTTGTAGGCAGTTTCAGCTTCTCATATTGCTGATCCATTAGAGCGTAGACTGGCATCTTATGTGTCATGCGAAGAAATTCATCGATTTATTACGAACACAAAAATTTGCAATGTGAGTTTTGAAAAATTAGTTGACATCATGTTTATCAGGTTGGGCTTCATAAAACTTAAGCTTTTATTCAGCAACTGAATATCGCATATCTCGTCATGGGAATTTCATTCCAGTACTGCATTCCATTCATTACTTTTATAATCTCCGTAAAGCTTGTAATCTGACTTCTTTTTAGAAAGGAAAAACAGTCGTAGTGAGACAACAGGTGATCGAAATCACAGCTGTTACCGTAGTGTTTGTAACATACAAGGATCAGTTAGCGTCAGCATGTAGTAATGGTAATTCATTGAAGCATCACTTTTCTTGGTGAAACATTTGTGATGACTCTGCAGATGACATATATTAAGAACAGGTTTGATAATATGTATTCAGAAACCTTTATTATGTAATACATCCCAACTATATTCGTGCAGCCATCCAGACGTATTCTTTTTCAGTTCTTAACTGTATAGTCTATACACCTAGGAAAGCAGCCTACTATTCATTTTATCAAAAATTTAAAAAGTAGATGGTGCGAAAGTTGTAACAGACCTATAAATGCATCACTCAATAGTTACCTTGGTTTTAAGTAACCTGTAGTTCACCACAAGCGTATAGTGTATTCATAGTATTAAACATTGTCAGTGTGTGTTGGATAACCTATTCGTATATTTACCGCACTTAAAAGTTAGATGCTAAATTTAACGGAAAATATTTATTGGAGAAGACAAATTTATGTAAATCCAGATATGATATAGAACACTGAATAGCATTTGGAATGTATCATAGGGCGAAATTTGCTGACAAACATCAAGAAATCATCTTTTTCAGACGTTTATTTATCCATTACAAACCTATGACAGGCGTCAATATCAAAATGTGTGATAAAAAAAGTAACGTAACAAACTCATCATATCGGGGGAGAAAGAAATACTGAATAGCAAGACGATGATAGAAAGCAGTGATATAGGATGCAATTATCAGGCTGTCGTAACTTTTGTGTTCGAGCACAGGTATTATTAGCTTTCCCATTATTTTTAAAGACGGAGAAATACCTGCAATCGGAAGAAGTTTCGGACATCCACCTGGAGTTCCTGACTTAGGTACGGCGACTATCTTAATACCTCCAGGCAGCTGGTATGGTGTTTTCTGAAAGCGATCTATTAAACGTGTTAGCTATTGGATGGTATAAAATATCAGCACACTTCGTGAATACGAAGCTTGACATACCACGCGTACCTGAACTGTGTGAAGGGTTCAGGGATTTAACACGTTTGAAAACATCTTTCTCGGTGAACTCTGGACTGCATTCTTCATTGGAAATGTGTGGACTAAGTGGAACAGGACAATCGGGTTGGTGTATAAACGATTTATTTGAAGCATAGACATCAACATATGCTTCTTTACTAAAACGTTTATAACCATTGAGGTCTTTAAAAAGTTCCTACATACTGAAAGAGCTTTTGCATGACAAAAACTTCTGGTTATATAGTGGACTCAGACGTTTAATTTCCAACTTAATTAAAAAATCCAGTCGGTAAGCACCAGTATTATCACCTACTTTACATAGTCTTTCTTCTTCTCTCAGTGTCTTAAGTAGGGAAGAATATATATGATCGAAGCGTAGAAAAAGGTTTTCACTGGGACCACAGGTATCCAGGCAAAACTTGAAATAGCATGTCACACCATCGATAGTGTCGTTCAAAACATCGCTGTCAAATATATTTCAGTCTGTACCATGTAGCATTTCTCTTAGACTAAGTATGTTACTATGTGAATAGTTCCTATGTACACTTTTCTTATATGTGAAGGCTGTTCTGTGTAGTTTGCCATATATTTTGGACAAAACATGTATAATGCAATAAGCTGAGCAGTGGGGTTCACTTTCGAATTTCATATACATCATTACCTTTGACGAATACCAAGTCTAGTGTTGCATCCTGACGAGTTATGAAGTTGACAAGGTTTTGATGACTAAGAGTTTCGAGAAAGCTTTGGTCACAAGAATTAAAATCACCATATATTATCGTCAGGGAACCACAGAGTATAGGGGCTGCGAATTTTGTGAATATATCACAAAAACTAGATAATTTGGATTAACTGCAACCCGGCATCACATAAATATTTGTTACATAAATAAATCGATATTTGTTTTAGGCCGGACGTAACAGTGATGCAATCTATGTAATCATTTGGGGATTTTAGCATATGTGACGCGAAATGCACCAGTGGGTATTGATGAAGGTAGCCGCAGCACCTCCACTTTTCTTAGTGGAGGTACATCAATCCTGACGGAGAGTTTCGAAACCCTTCCGAGAAACTAAACTGTCATTACAAAGTTCATGTAACCAAGTTTCTTGCAATGTCATTACTTCACCATTACGGTGCACATTGAAGGATATAAGAGATTGTAAGTAATCCACTCCTCCCTGCAATGACCTGCAGTTTTGTGCTTATAATTTCAGGTAGTCATTTGAGATAAGGTTATTCGCTTCAAAACACACTGCCATCCACCGTGACGCTTTTTCCTCATCTTATTTGATACTGTCATCTCAGTAGGTTGTAATCTTTTTAAAAATGTGCGTAAATGTATAGTGTGGTCAGAGAACATAGTAAAATAATTTAAGCGGACAAAAGCGTAGGAAAATTTGATGCATTATACGAGATGGAAAATTTAGTAGCCCAGATATTTAAACAGGCCGCTTGAATCATTGATCGGAGAACCCTGGAGACGGCTGAAAATCGGTCACAATGGGACTGATGTATTTACTTTTTGACATCTTGCAAAGTTTGAATGTTCTTACAAACCATTTAGAAAACTTTCATTTCTCCCACTACACACACTTGTGCACTTTGATATTGCTCTTTATCAACCTACTCGTTCTATGTCTGCTGCTGTAAAGTATGGAAACTTGAACCGATGCACTTTTGCGCGAGGTTGTTTGTTGATTTTGTCTGTCTGTCGTGTTGAATCTGGAATATTGTTATTCAGATGAATGTTTTGCAATTAGATCTACGAAGTGAATAATCATCTTTGGAGTTGAACATCAAGAAAGTAGGACGTTTAGTTTGATTCTGATTCTAGAGTGAAGTTGATCGACGGGGTAGAAATTAACAATCAACTGATTATTAATGCTTTCTACATGTTTTATTCATGTGTTTTGGTCATCTAAGAGTTTTCTTAAGATTCCTTTAAAATATTTGCAACTTCGTTATTTTTATAGGTTACTATGACGGTTCTTGATGTTCAGTGCGTGCTGGAAGCCTTAAAGTTTGGTGGCGAATTGGAGACGCGCATTAATTCCGAAGCTTCTGAAGAAAGTACTAGCTCAGGAATGCTCTATCGACTAGCTACTCAAACTCCATGTACTGCAAATTTGGCGCATATCCCGTGCACAATATGCTTAGTAGGTTTTAGTTGTTATATTTTATTATCAAGAAATAAGCAGAAAGGCAGAAAATGACGATCATATAAGTGTACTATAGTATTAAGTGATATAAATTATCTCATGATGTATATTAAATGTCATATCTCCAATGGATCTCGGTCACCTCAGTAGCTGTAGGTTCCTAAATTTATCGAATGACTTATCTTCTTCATCTAGTTAGAAATTTACTACTGATCTCCATGTCGCCTACTTGGTGGTTTCACTATGTGTGAGCCCGGTACCTGCGACTAAGCGCATAAATTCCTTTCCTTTCTTCTATCTTGAGCACTTACGTCCCATTCATGCAGTTAGATGGAACAAATTGTTATGCGATACATTCATTTCCAGTACCCTAGATAATAAGTGCGTAGACTAACCAATGTCACTTAAACCGTATTTGTATAAAACTTCAGTCAGCACTGGAGTTATTTATCAAAAAACATCAACGGCGGTCTGGTTGGACTTTGGATTACCAATGAAATATTCCACCAAACATATTATATCAAATTCTTTCTTTTCATCATGTTTTCATCGCTCAAATATGTCCTGTAAGCGTATCATATACTCTTAGGGATTTGAACTAGTTTTTTAAAGTAACCAAACGAAGGGAAAGTGTGATATTAGACTGAAATGGACTTTTGAATGAACGAAAATACATCATATTTCTATTCTTCGTATACCTTTTTCGAATAGTACATTCTCCTGCTGACTGAATGAACCACTACCACTAAATATCGGATGTTAATCCATCACATTATTACGTTTGACACTGTTATTACGAAAATCATTTATGAATCTATGACATGCTGAGAATTCCATACTATATCAAACATATTGTCTGGACCAAGGCCATCAGATGTCACTTTCAGATGACGTAATATGTCTACTGTGAGGGGTGGAAAGACGTACTTTTATTCGTTAATCTAACAAAGATGTGTTTAGTGGACTCATCTAAACCAGTTACACAATACTAAGGGACAAAGTAAATGGATAAATAAAGTCTAAACAAATACAATAAGCATAGGAAAGGGAGAGAAGAGGGACGTACAAACGTGTGGATACAAAGACTAGGATTCGTAGCTCGAATTCCCACATCTGTCATATGTAAAAGACGGGTTCGAATACCTTTTGGAAGACTAGGTGGTATGTGGTGAATAATCTTGAAAGGATTGTTCTTATCTGCCAAGTGACCACTATCAACGAAATGAAATAAAACGGAACTTCTACTGGATTTTATGTATCCGTTTCCCAACCATGAAGGTAAATGCTCAGCTAAACGTCTGTTAAATTGTTTAGTAGTACGCCTTATGTAACCTTCTCCACAGGAACAGCTAAACTTGTAAATACACATAGAAATGGTATAACTACATAACTCATCTTTTGTCTGAGCAACAACAATTTGTCATCTAGAAAATGATAGAAAGAATTGTGTGGTGTAGAAAGTCCTCTTGATGACTCTAGAAAGCCTCTGATATAAAACTTCTCTGGCTACATCTCCATTAAATTGCAATTTCATGAACAACAGTTTCTTTTGTACAGTAATAATTCCAGTTTTATTTCCCTTTGCTTTGTTCATGTGTCTTTTTATGAAACTGTTAAGGTATAACCCATTTCGATTAATGAATTATGAATATATTCATACTCATTGTGTATTAGATCATCTGAACATATTCTTCTCGTTCTGTTAGTGAGGCATTTAACCAGGTTTACTTTGTATTGAATGTGCATACAGCTAAGGAAATGTGTGTATTGACCTCTAAACATATCTGCTGTATTATTATCATCATCATCCTTGTTATTTTAAAAACATTTATCACATTAACCGACAAATTTACATGATTGGTTTAATTTTTATATAGATATTTAGCTATTTATGTTAGAGTAAAGCCTAGAAAGAATGTAATTGAAATCACTATTGTTCACTTGTATGTTATGTTCTAATTTACATGACAAGAACTTTTAGAACTCTTAGCTATTATTACTAACGGTTTTAAATTTGAAGAGACTTCGTGATTGTTCAGTAGGCAAAGTGTTTATCACTTTCTATATATGCTTCTTCGTTGGAATAATTTGTTCGCTGAATAAATAAATCAGTTCGTATTATGTAAGTTTAAAAGCTATCCATTATTGAATGAAGACAGCTAGTATGTTGTGTTCGTTACTCATAGATACTATATTTGTTGTTCAAATTTTCAGTAATTATTGTTTTCTTGTTTTGAATAAACTCTTCTAGTGTCGAAAAGATTGTCGTCCAGATGGACCAATCAACCCTCAATCATGTAGACTTTTTCAAGCATTTCTTGAGTTTTAATGAAGATGGATTTTTTTTTCTCCCTCTAATTCTAAAAATCTATGGCATTCTTTTTCAAGGAACCATTGTATGTACTGTTATGTTTACAAAATTTGTCTTGAGTCTTTCATTCCTACTTTTATTACCAACTGTTGTCATAATTTTTACCTGCCCCTTTATTGCTCTGTTATTTGTATCCCTGTAAATAAACAATGCTGATGCTATATGGAATTATTTGTACTCTATTTTTTTATGGGAAGATATATTTACATGATGATTCGAAAAGTAACAATTATTGCTGTTGCCAGTTGTACTAAATAACGCCTTAGAAACTAGTAACCGTTTCTTGTGTTTATCCACTGTAATTTAGGCATTTCTTAATTTTTGTATAGTTGGACCTCTTTAGATAGTGTACTCAGATGTCTACTATCGCATCACATATACAAATCTCGTTCAAATGCTCCGATATACCAAGGGTTAAAAGGATCCCGTTGATCCTCTTGAAATACTTCCATACGAATGCGATTCTACAAGGAAATTCCTACTTACTGTCATCATTTAGGCAGTGTATTTACACTGGCTTGAAGGCTCTGAAGAACGTCAAACTTATCACCGTATGGATCAACACGAAAGAATCGAAAAACTCTGGTTCTAAAATAGTAGTGCACATGGACTTTCCGATCCAGAATGGATGAATGATGTATGAACCTACCTTGGTCACCAACAACCATGTGGATGCTACACCTCACTTTGCTCCAGTGCTTTACGAATCAGACTTCCAGTCAAAAAAAATTGGTGAGTGGTCCCTTTAAGACAACCATATACTTCGGTCTGGACATCCGGACAGTATCCCAGTATTACTCCACCAGGTGGTTGACACCGTTACATGAATTGCAGACCAACAATCACCGCTTTTATCGACGTTCCTTTGGACAATTATATGCTCTAGACTTGTCTGTGAGAAGTTTTTTCAGATGTTGAAGATCCCATGCTAAAATGCGTCAAAAAGAGAGTGATGGCTTACAACCGTCTTTTTTATTATTGTCTGGCGATGCAACGTTGGGGATATTTGGTCATTTTTCTCTAACTTTGCCGTATAGGAAATTCTCATGAGAGCTCTGGAGGAGGTTTACGTGTGTCGTCAGGTGAAGAACTTCGATTTCGAGTATGCGGACAATATCGTCTTACTGCGCGACGATATACGGGCTACCCAAATCACACTTAGACAGCGATTAATACACTTAAGGATAGTAGGCTGTTTCCACAGTCAGTGCGCAAGGTGCTTATACGTGACTAACTAGAGCCTGTACACCCACTTGCCCTAGATGGTGTGATTTCTAGTGGACATGGGACTGATGCTGTTTTTTTTAGCCGTATATTGAAAGCCATATTGGCATACACTAATAATATCTTTGTCGTCTAAGTGATGTAGTCCTTGCTATAAAAGGTTATGTGTATGACTCGATGGTGCGGACACTTACTCTATGCCTTGCCCTTCTGAACTAGGAGTTCCCAGTGGCTGCTTTTTTGATCATCGGTCTCCTCAGGACTGCCCATGTGTGGTTCAAACATCATCTAACTCGTGATGAAGTTTTTTGTCCTATCTTGCGCCTCCGACCACTTCCTAGACAATTGGCTCACATAAACATGCACCAGATTGAATTAAATTATTATTATCCTATTATATTCAAGTTAAACATTCATGAAGATGATTGACTGCGTTGATGAATTAGATGTTGATAAAAGTTATTTCATGATAAATAGAACTTTATTGGACAAAAAACAATCAAAAACTACGTTACTTGTCTATCAACAACAGGTATTTACATCAAACTAGTGTTGATGAGTTATGATGAATAATTGAAGTTTTTTACTTGCTTAAATATTTACTTCATTTGTTGAATTAAAAGCTTCGAGATTTTGCATTATGCAAAGATTATGTAGAGTGGATAAGATAATAAAACTTACACCACCTCAGTATACAAACATCCAACACAATTATCATGATCGATATAATTGCACCTGTAGAAAGACTAACTGGAACCAAGATTTGACGAACAGCAAATTAAGTTCCTAGAAATGTTTCTTCTCCTCCTAAAGATGTAAGTATTAACAAAAGTTTATGGAAGAGCTTTTCACTCATCAGTTACACTCGTTTCTAGGACGACCCAGTAGCTGTATAATATGTGATTGTTCTGTAGTTATAATTTCTGAGTTCATGATTGACTATTCTACATAGAGCACAATTTGGCATGAACATATAAGAAGTCCTTATTTTTTGAGCTGTTGGTCTAGCTGCTTGTCTACGGTGAAATTACAATGTGAGGAATTTGAGAACAGATACACAATTTTAGACGAGTAAGGTAATTCAGGTGTATAAGCTTTTTAACCTGTACCAATTAAGATGACTTAGGTGAGTATCACAAATTTGTAGTCACTGTCTACTTCAACACAAAATGTTATCTGAATAAGAACTAGGTTAAAAAAGTGTCGTCAGTAGTCTTGTAACGAAATTACTGAGTAACGCGTAACAAAGATATGAACCTCCAGTGTTCTCAAACCTTAAGCGAAACCAACCAAATCCAAAACATTCGGTAGCTAAACAACAAGTGTATATTCAAATTTTAAGTGAACTCCGTAAAAATTGTCCTTTACAGCAAAATATATGTACAAAATTATGTTACTAACCTTCGATTCTTACGGCTACTGCAGTTTCTGGACAAAACGAAATACAATCATGACATCAACTGAATAATAACTTCCAGATGTTTAATTTGGGGATTAGTGGGGATTTAGTGATTTACTAAAGTTGATATTCATCTTGGAATGACTTCATTTGGAAGAACATTAGAAATCTAGGAGCACTGGACAGCTGTTTCCTTCTAGTATAGGACTTCTCAGCAGTGCGCATCCATGACCCGGCCTCCGACTTATGTCACTTCATGATGAATACTAACCTGAAAAAAGTCACTAAATCCTCACAAATCCGCAAATTAAATTGATTCAGTGCTCATTGGTGACTAGCTTCGAGAGGTTATTCCGAAGTTCCAGTTAGAAGTCGTGACCAGTGGGAAAAATCTGGTGGCCATGAGGACGAATACTTAGCGACGACATTGGGTGATGGTCGCGCTACGTCGTGAACTGACAGAGGTTGGAAGTACGGAACAGTAAATTCCGACCCAGTGGCTCAATGGTAACGTGCTGGCCATGGAACCCGAAGGTCCTCCATCCGATCCCTGGTGGGTTGGGGTCATGGGTGTGCACTTCTGAGGAGTCTCACAGTAGGATGAAACAGCTGTCCAGTGCTCCCAGATTTCCAACGTTCCTCCAACTGGTGTCATTGCATGATGAATTCCAACTTGCAAAACGCTTTCGGATGGTTATACACACAAACTGAATAAAGTCAGACAAAATGAATGGTCAATGTTTTTGAATACCTTACATGAATAAAAATCAAAACACATGCAACAGGTAGTGAAACTAAGATGTTGTAGTGACTCATCAAAATTTTGTGTTCCACGGCCCGGTAGAGATGTCTGTGTTGTTTAACTGAAGTCATTCAGATGTTAAGTATTAGTGGTTAGGAAACTGTTGATAGCATAGCTCAATATTGACTGCAATGGTGCTTGCTGATATTTTGATTCCCTGCCATAACCAACGTTTCAATAGTCTATTTTTTCTTCTTAATATTGTATCTTTATTGTGCATTATAACATTCTATTTTCGTCCATTTAATCATTTGGTGTTTTAATGTGTGACATTTTGAAATGTTGCACTTTTAAGGCAGTCTCTGCTTTGATCTATCTGTCTCTCATTCCTGGTGTCGTACTAGGAGTAATACTCTTTGGTGTCTCTTTAATGAGACTAGCTTCACATCCATAAATCATTTACAATATGATCGGCATAATAAGTATAGGACGTCTGAATAACATCTTTGAATGCTGATTCGCGAAAGCTAATTTTTTCAAACGAAGGCAATTATTAGAAAGAAGTCTAGTTATTTGGATGAACTTAAGAGGTATAACTTCCCAAATCTGTTCTCTTTAGATAATTTCTGTCATTATAAGAGTTATTTCTTCTTCGTTTAAATGAAGACTGTAAGCATTTACGCCTAACTCTATAAGGTCTTGTTCTTAAGATTGTTTGTATCTCCAGATCACTCTATTGTTCTGTAGATAATTTCTCAATGCTTGTGTTATCCTTTGAATAACAGTTTTTTTGTGTACTTTTGTGCTGAGTTCTACTTTGCGTTTTTGTTTCTGTCTGTCGAATACGAAATGGACTGAAAAACAGTTGCTCGTACGGTTGACAACTAGGATTTACATGATGGTATGGTCATCAAATTTTTCTTTTCACAGCAGAATTAGGCCAAACTGATTTTTGATTGAGGAGAGAAAGCAGTTGAAAAGTAAACTGATTAAGGATCTTCCCAGTAATCGTGAACATACATGAGTGATATTAGAGGGAGAGGTATGAAAAAGCACTAGGCAAAACTTTACAGTCACTTCAGTTTATTAGGGATACTGGTAAGAAGAAGAAGAGGATAGTTTTTGAAACCGTCACCGAAAATGACAAGTTAATGGTAACCTATCAAACGGAATACTTTAAAGAATGATTCAAGTGACCTGCAGCCATCCAGAGCCTATATAGAATGCAGATGTTTAGTTTTTCTCGAAGTTGGGAAGTCTATTTCAAACCTGAAACAAAGTAAAGCAATAGGAACTGGTGGTTCACTACTAAGAGTTTTCAAGGAAGGAGATAACAAATACTAAATAGTGGAAGTACTAGGAAATCAAGGACAGTTCCGTCATGCTGGTCTCATAGTCAAGTATTTCAATCTCTAAGAAAGGAAAGAAGTCATTTTGTCACAGCCATATCGCAATCAGTGTAATTAATATCGTATTCAAGATCCTTGAGTCCATAGCTATATGACATGTAACTGGAACTCTAGAAAAACAAACAGGTTTTAGACCTGGAAGAGGGTACATTGATAAGAATTTCACCCTTCATTGGGTCCTGAAACAAAGGGTGCCTATCGGTGACCAGCACTTGCTATATTTCTTGACCTGAGGGTGACATTCCCCTCTGTCTACCGTGAGCTACTGAAGCAGTGTCTGACTGTGAAGGGAGTACCAAGGAAGGATATAGCGTTAATAAAAGCTCTTCATTCGAACTAATGGAGCTGTATAAAGGCTTATTGGAAGTTGTCATCAGAATTGATGATAACTGGTGATGCTGTCAGAAGTTCTCACTGTCATCGTTTCTGTTCAGTTTCATCATAGATGTATTAACAGACATAACCTTGAGTACGTTTAACTCCCCAGGTACTGACCTACTCCCTGGAAGTCATTTCGGTGATTTTCAGTATGCAGATGATACTGTTCTGTTGGTTGAAGACACTGACAAAATGCAGTGTCTTCTGGACGAGTTGAGCAGAAATCTGGGCATATTTCGCTGACATGCGTCTCGTAACTGCCAGGTGAGAGATGATGCTCCAGAACTGGTCTGTTGCAGGTACTCCCAGTTAAATGATAGGGAGTGAAGTGGTGGAATGTATGGACGACTTCACTTACGTGGGGAGTTGCATCAGCCCGAACGGGCTGCTTGCTAACGAAACCTAAGCTTGAATATAAAAAGCCCGTTTAGCATTTGCAAACTCGCCTCACCTTTGGAGTCGGTGAGATATCCGACTATCTGTTAACGAATAGGTATACTATGCTGCAGTCGGCTTCATCCTATCATACTGTTGTGAGACAGTTTTTACTATCCAGTCCATTGCAAAACCGGTGTAGTGTGGTGCTTTTTAATCGAATTCAATGAATGTGCAAAGTCTGTGCGTTGGAAGAAGAGACAAGATTATTGACGGAGACATTCGAAAACCACTACGTACTGAAGTTCATAATTCAGTGGTACTAGAAGAAATACTGTTCACTGTATCGAAAATAGTGCAACATTCACCGAACTACCGTAGATTAGTAATGCAAATTACTTGATAGTCAAACAGAAATTTAACGCTGCCATCAA